TCAATTTGGGATGTCGTCCCGTGTTCCTGGGAAGCTTGTTTCTTGTCTTGCAACTTGTTTCCCCTTCCCGTCTTTCACAGTCTGAGTCAAAAAAGTACCAAAATCCAACTTGGACAACTCAAAGAGGTAAAGCCAGGTGGAAATGACATGTCGTGCAACTCGTTGAATCGCGGTCTCTCGTCTATCCCAGGCCCAGGCCCAGGCCCCGGTGAGAGCGGTGTGATGCCCACCAGCTAGATTAAAAAAATCGTGGTGGAGGCCTTTTCCCATCGCAGTGGAGGAGGTCCTTTCTGGATCCAAAGCGATTGGCCTCCAGTTCTCCGTGAGGCTCTTCCCGTAGCGTCACCTTCCCGATCTGGAAGGCGAGAGGTTCCTCTCCTCTCTCAATGATGTATGTTCCAACTTCATCTCGCTAACGAGTACTTTTTCCCTGTGCTTTGCAGAGGGAGGGGACAGGTTGCCGAGTCAAGCTCGCCCTGGCCGAACTGCGGAATTGAGTCGCTGAAAGTTGGAAGTGGAACTTGCGTACTCGATAAGAACAATATCCCTACAGACGAAGTTGTCGCAATACCCAGTAGGAGAACTGACTATGCCCTAAGACCTTTTCTGGTCCGCATAGATTTCCGTCTTGTTCATTCAACTGACAATTTTCCGAAGAGGTTTGATCTTGCAAGAGAACGAATCAAGATAAACCTCGCAACCGCATTGTCCCAAATTGTGGGATACCGGTTGTTTACTTTTTGAACTTGGGCGCGCCGCAAGTTTCAACTCAGACGACAGCCTCGTTTTCGCACGCGCGTGTGTGTGAACACGTCATCGCGGCGGCACTTGCATACTTATAGAAGCAACAGTCATTAACCTAAATTGTTTGGTCTGAAAACAGTCAATATTACCGCGGATTTCTAGGGGAAGAACGGAGTTGTAATAGCCCGGTAGCCTCATCGTAGCACAACCGAACTGCCCATTACTCGTTCCTTATGGAGCAAGACTTGGCTAGTGAGCCGCTGCACATCATCAACGCAAGTCAGAAGTGCCATACGTAAGGTTGAGCCAAACCCCCCTGCTTCGGGTATATCCCGCATGCATTCCGCGCACACATCCTCAAGGCGCGGCTGGGATGAGAACAGCGGCCATTGCGAGATTGCCGAGTCCAAGACGGGGATTGGTATGTCCAAAAGCGAGAATTACAACGAAAAGGTTGACCAAACGATGGAACATCGTGAACGGTGACTATGTGGGTAACCTTATGCCATGACCGAGTCAACTGTAGATCTGTTGGAAAGTCTGACCAACAGGTATCATCCTCTGTCGGCTGTTTGTTGTTCTGAAGCTCAAGAAGTAGTTCAATGGTGGGCCTCATAGTACTAGCCGACTTGGAGGGTATATTGATTAATATGTCGCAGTTGTGTTGCAGTCAACAGCTGATGCCCAACAAACCTTGATGCTACCTACTCTGGCGGTTGAGGCGTTGGAGGGCTGATAAGTGTTCATCGTAGGCGGGGACATGCGAGGCATTCCGCCCGCTGTCCGCGCAGAGTTGATTAAGTCGAGGGTTGCTGCAGCGAGTTGAAGAGCAGATCTGTTTGGCTGAGTGGGTCTTTGGTTGTGATTGACATCGGAAATTTTGCTCGATCAATAGTCAGTCGGCTCTGGATCTTGGGCCGAATGCGTCTTAGCTTCAACGTGTAGGCGCTGGCTTTGGCTCTGTCTCTGTTTTATTTTTGGTGAAAACGAGAGGGCTGATAGTTGGGGTGAGCGCACTGTCTGTGTCTCAACCGCCGATCTCTTTTCTAAAATCACCCAGGGTCCGTCGCAATAGATAAAAAGACTACCGGGATGGACTGCACACGTCGCCGAGTCGGCAAAAGAAAGCATACGAGATTCGTTGCAGAACAGATCCCGGAAGTCTTCTAGAACGCGCAGCCGATCGTCTCTCCAGGACCCCGCATGCAGGATGCAGGGAGAACAGAGAGTCAAAAGGGCAAGCCCGAGGCCGAGGCCGAACCCGCCAGTGGGAGCGTGCCGGCGCGCGTGTGTCGGCCCCCTTTTTAGGTTGAAAGGCGGCGTCCTTGCCTACAAGAAGACGCGCATCTGGGAAGCTCATCATGGGAGGCCCCTGAGCGGGAACAGGGCGGGATCCATGGGATGGACACCTCGCGCCGCTGGCGCTAGCCGGCGGCTTGGGATGAGAGGGCAACGACAGGAGAGAAAGCTCGTGCTCCCGTCGACGGCCGTGTTGTTTAGGATGCATAGTTCATTTCGTAGTCTGATCCCGACATGATGGGTGTGTCACCCGAAATCGAGGCTGGTGGTGAGACAAGATTTGAAGTGACACGGCCTTGAGAACTGGTTGCCGTCTCCCTGTCCGGGCCGGGTGACACAACGGTATTGAGGAGCCAGGACGGAGATGCCGGCCGGGAAGCGCGAATGCAAGACCGGGAATAAGGGTATGGTGAGCCGGCCATGATGGGGGCCTTTCTTTGTCGGCCTCTCTTTTTGTCCCCCACGTTGGAGTCTGTGGGTGACACCGGACGCGAAGGCAATCAATCAACCAGGCATGTGTTGAGAGAGACCTGGTTCGGCATGAGAGGTGTTCCGGAACTGGGGAGAGACATTGTTGGAACTGGCCTGGGTAGGGAGTGGCTCGCTCTGCCAGTTGAGAGTGCTAGGTATGGTACATACGGAGTCCGAGTAAGGGTATGAGAGGCAGACGTGTGCGTACCTTGCATTCGTTTGTCGAAAATGGCATCAATGTCTCTGTTGTCTGTGTCACTGTGGGATTCGATGGAAAGCCAATAGCCGGAGAAAAGTAACGACAAGGGCAAGAGACGGACGGGGTTTGCGATCCGTCATCCATGGGCCTTGGCCCTTGGCCCCAACTCCCCTTCCCAAGGTGTTGCAGTGTACGGATATTCGTAGTGTACGTACGGCGAAGGTAGGCCATGGTCGGGTAGTCAGCGCTCTGGGCGCCTGACGCACACGTTCCATCCGTTGATTCACGGCTGTTCGTCGATCAGCGTGGCCGGCCCCGTGATCAGTTGGCGGTGGATGCTGGTCGAGGAAGGGAAATGCCTTGGTGAGTTTGCGTGGGCTGGACGCCAAGGAGTGGGCCGGGGGAGAGATGCTGCTGCAGCGATGTGGGGTTTCGAAGGAGCACGAGCCCTGTAAATTTATTAGCAGGAGGTACGACCTGTTTTGGTGCCCTTTCTCATTGGGGGGGAGTAGGGACCACCGCAGCCGCAGCCGCAGCTTGCTCCTCCCCTCCTGCTCTCAGGTTGCTCCTTCCCTGTCCTGGCGGCCACGAGTTTTGGAGTCGAGTCTCCGTGAAAAGAGTTCCGTTACGGCGGTACGGATAGGTGAGACCTGAGGGCAAAGAGGCGAGGAGGCAAATTGGCGTGTCCGGTTGAAAACCTTCATCGTCATTGGTACCGGCGGTGTGGAAGCGCAAAATGTGACCGTCATTCCCCTGCGTCTCTCATTTCCTGGAGAGGTTACTTTTGGGGTCTTGGTTAGTGTAGAGGGGAGGTTGTGGGAGAGCTATCCCGAGCTGAGGTAGGGAACATAGGTACAGCTATGTAAAGTGTAAACAGAGTCGACACGACCTCGCTCGACTCGTACTGTCTGTACCTGAAGCCAGACAGACAAACAGTCTTATTGCGCAGCTCACTCACAGTTTTAGCCCCCCATTCGAGACATTGGAAGAGAATGGGAGGCAGGCAGTTCGAGTGTGCAATATCCCAATGTCAAAGAGAAAGAAGGAGGTGCATAAAGCTCCACCCGGCCATCTTCTGGCGCATTGCTGTTGCATGGCCGTGGCTGACAATCCCGTCCCGCAAAGTCACAGGTTGTGGTATTAGTGCTTGCTCCTGAGATTATTTTGTCTCCTCCGTTCCCTCTCGTCCCGCTTTGCAGCCATCCCACGGTCCCCGTTCTCCATTATCCATCTGGCCCCCCCGTTTTGAATGACAGCACCATATTGGAGGAGACGCTTGCTCGAGGGCCGTTCTGTTTCGTCCCTTTTTTTTTTTTCCCCCCCTCGGTTTTTTTTTTTTTTTTTTTTTTTTTTTTTTTTTTTTCTCTCTCCTGCGAGATGCTCCGTACTGCATATTTCCGCTTAAAAATTTGGTCCTCCTTTTCCTGATACTAACCTACGAGTGGGCGAAAAAGGGGAAGAGTGTGAGAGCCAGCCAATTGTGCGGTGAACCAACCTGTCGTCTCAAGTAGCAATTTTTTATTCGCCTTTTCTGCGTGCGCACGTTACCTCGACTTAAGTCGTTTCTAATATCATCAGACGGAACCAACCAAACATCAACCTTTTGCACTAGAAGACACCACTCACACACACGCACCACGTACACGCACACAATCCAAACCAAACACACAACACACAATACATACATACGTACATAGATTACATACACCCACCACAACAAGCATATCTTTCTTATTCCTCTCCCTTCCGGCATCCCCTCCCCCCTCCCCTTCAACACCTCTCGTTGCACGGCACAGCATTTCGAACTTAAAGGCACCGTTGCCCTCCCCCTCCTCCGTCTCGACCCGTCCTCTCCGTCCCGGCTAGTTCCCTCCCCCCCTGCCGAGCTTCGCCCGCGTCCATCCCGCTCTGCTACTGCACTGTACTGGACCGTAGTCTACACTAAACTCGCGCAATCCTGGTGCTGCATTTGCTCCCAGGGGCCAGGGCACATCACCCCTAACTCGACCTGACCTGAACTTGGGACTTGGACAGACGTCAACCCCGCCGTCCACCACCCACTCTCACTACCCAACCCACCACTACCGCGACCGCCGCCGCCGCCGCCGCTGCCCGTTAGGTCTACCGCTCTGTGCCCAGTGCACCGCACCACCACAATCGCTACCTCGAACCCCTCTGCCCAACCGGTTCAACTTGCGCTTGACACATCCTTTCCTCCTGGACGACACATTCTCGCAATAACGCACCCTCGAATTCCCCCCTCTCGCCAAAGCATCCCCTCCTCAACATGGCCGAGAAACCCTCAGTCCTGATCATCGGGGGGCTGGGCTACATTGGCCGCTTCCTGGCCCTCTACATCCACGAGAACAACCTCGCATCAGACGTCCGCGTCGTCGACAAGGCCCTGCCCCAACTGGCATGGCTCGCCCCGGAGTTCCAAGACGCCTGCGCCGGCAGCAAGTTCATGCAGGCAGATGCAAGCAGAGAACGTAAGTCACCCGTACAAATCCCACGAACCGAACCCCAGAGACCACCTCCTTTCTATGCTACGACTGTCTTGTACTGTCTTCCTCTCGCCTCTCGCCGACACCTTCCATCTGCTGCCACCCCCAGAGAACCCACTGTAATTCCGCTTCTTGGCTAACTTTTTGCTTTTTTCCTTTCCCTCGTGCAGAAGCCCTAGCAAAGATATTCGACCGGCCCGACGGCAAACAGTGGGACTACGTCTTCAATTGCGGCGGTGAGACGAGATATTCTCAAGAGGATGAGGTTTACAAGTTGCGATCCCTTGGCCTGTCTGTTGCCCTCGGCAAGGAGGCCGCCAAGCGCAAGGTGAAGGCCTTCGTTGAGCTCAGCACCGGCATGGTCTACAAGGCCGACTCCTCACCGAGCAAGGAGGGCGACAAGATCAAGCCCTGGAGCAAGATTGCTGTCTACAAGCTCCAGGCTGAGGAGGAACTGGCAAAGATGGAAGGGTATGTTCAACGCCGCCTTGCCGGCCCCTCTTGGAAGCTATTATTTGCCATCTCGGCATACGTCTCCGTGTCTCGTGAAGCTGACTCGACCCCTTTTTTGTAGTCTGAACCTGATTATCGTTCGGTTAGCACACGTCTACGGTCCCTATGCCTCGCAATGGGTCGCTACAGCGCTGTGTATGGCTCGTGTCTACCAGTACCTTGAGGACGAAATGAAGTGGCTGTGGGACAAGGGCCTCCGTCAAAACACGGTGCACATTTCGGACGCTGTGCGAGCGCTCTGGGACATCACCACGTGGTACGACGCCGGAAAGAGCAAATGGGACGACAAGTCTATGGGCAAGGTGCCTACATTTAACGTTGTCGATAAGGGTGTGACCACGCAGGGTGTCATGGCCGAGATCATTGGCGACGTCTTCAAGATTCAGACGGGATTCCAGGGGCAGCTGATCAGCACCTTTGCACGCCTCAACATGGACAACGTTGTCGACGACATCAACGACGATCTCATGGGCCCGTGGGCCGAGCTGCTCGAGAAGGCGGGCATTGCACGACCGGGACCCCTAACGCCATTTATGGAGAAGGAGCTTCTTAAGGACACGGATCTAAGCATGGACGGCAGCCGCCTGGAAAACGTCGTTGGTTTCAAGTACGAGAAGCCGAAACTTACCAAGGAGCTGATCGAGGAGGTGATTGAGAGCTACAAAAAGATGAACTGGTGGCCGTAACGGAACGATCTAGAAGCATAAAAAGCGTGCGGGTGAGTTAAACCTTGCGACCGGGTTCGAAGATTTAGGGCCGCGGCGCGCCGGAGCGTCATGATATCAGTTGGATCGTTTGTTTGAGCTCCTTTGTTTGCGAGAAGCATCCCGGAGCCAGTGGCGGGGAGCCGGGGCATTGTACCACCAAGATATCCTTTTCCTTTTATTCCTCTTCTGCTGCTCCGGCCATGTACATTGGCATATTTCTGAGGGTCGTAATCTTCAATAAAGTTAGGCCAAAAAATCCAAGAGACCCCAAAGTGGTGCTGTCTGTGGTGAGAGTGTGAGTGTGTATGAGAATAATTGGGCTGCGGAAGCTCCAGATTGGGCAGAGACAGGGGATGCCTGCCGGGGTCGTCTTGAAACATCTGGAGCTCACCATAGGGCCTTTCTTTGGTGCGTTGCAGACAGCTTCCTCTGTGACTTCTCGAGCTGGGATGCTCCTGCCTTGGCAGCTACCTACCTATTTGGAGTTGGAGCTTGGCCCCGCTGCAATAAAGAAGCTTTGTGCTTCTCGAAGCTCGTCCCTCGGCTTTTTGGACGCCGGAGTCAGGCACATACACGGGGGGAGGAGACGGGAAGGCGGGCGATCGGAGGCGGACTGGATCGGTTCGGTCGAGTCTTGATGGTTTTCCTTTGACACCTCTTTTTTTGAAGGCGGGTATTTTGCTTTGTGACGTCTTTTTCGAGGTACGATCTAATTCGTCACCTGTGACGAACTCAAGACAGCTCGCTAGCGCGACTCGGCTGGGCCTACTACGCGACACGAACGAGGCCGGCTGGAGCTGTACGAGCTGTCAATGTCTGCTGTGGAACTAGACCGATGCATTGGGCCGTTTGAAGAGGCTCTCTTTCGTTGTACGAAGCTGACCGCGGAGGCGAGGGGACGGTTCGACGTTGTGCAGATGAGCGAGGGGCGATGGGGGAGCAGAGACGTAGCACTTGCGAAGTGCGGCTACGAATGAGTTCGAGATGGTCTCTACGGGCTTATTTAGTTCGATATACCCGATGGGCGAATGGAAGTAGTAGTCGAGGTAAGGCTCGAGTGGGATGTGCCGAGGCGCAGCTGAAAAAAGCATCCAGCTCGCCCCGTCCCATTGAAGCCAAGCTGCTTCATCTGTCTGTGTTCTGCGCTGCACCTTTCCGTCGTACAGCGTGCGAGATTGATGGGAAACTCTGCTGATGGGCTTGCCGAGCTCCCGCTGGCTGGCCAGACTAAGGGAGACGGGACGGGGAGAGGGGGCGAGGTTCGTGGTAGGTCGTCTGTCATTGGAAGACGGGCAGGATGAGGGTGTGCGCGCATATGCGTCTCTACAGATGTGCAGTGAGAAGTGAGAAGCTTAGGTGAAGAGTGATGCGATGCGACGTGCGTGCCTTGCTTCAGATTGACGGGTAGCCTGTCCTCTGATTCCTGTCTGACTGCTGGCTGCATCAGAAGCGAAAAGAGACGACCGTTGGTGGTCTTCGCATGTCCGCACGGCCGCCTCAGCCTCGGAACTTGACGTCTGTTCCCCAATCGTCTGCATGTCTCGGCTGCCTGTTTGGGAAACGTTGGTCCAGGTTGTGATGGGCGCACAGCCGAGCGTCGTCCGCTTGGGGGGTTTAGATGGTTGTCGGGGACTTCGGGTTGCGACGTTCCCCCGCAACTTGCAACGGGCTGGGCGACCGAATTCGAACTTGTGGGTTGTAATCTGTGATCATGGGGTTTATTTTGTTTGCGCAGATCTGGACAGGTCATAAACCAAGCCCGCCATTATAATGAAGACAATTTGGAACTATGTTGTTGAGTCAAGTTGCGAATCAGAGAGGAAACCAGAGCCCACCAGAGAACGGTCTGACGCTATCAGCGCACACGTGTATTGGATAGCCCGTTAGGTATTGGCCAGTTAGACGGATTCTTTCGGTCATGATCTCACTGCACCCAGGGTCTTGGGACTGAATTTGGGGGCGCGGGCATGGATCATGGAAAAACGCAATGGAACGTTCCCAGGGGTGGGCGTCGAGGCGCGGTGCGAGTGCGAAACGAACCTCGGGCCAATCCAGTGTTGCTGTTGCAACTTTTGCTGGGCGAGGCAGGCTGTCCGCGAAGAAAAGCTTCATGTGAATGTGGAGGGGTCGTCGGCTCACCAGCTCGCCCAGCCCAGCGAGAGAGACAGCCAAGCAAGGACCCCATCCCCTCCGGAGCGGTGCCCCGCCCCGCTTGCCATTCGTCCCCTTGAGTGCCAGTCATGAGCCGCCTGTACCTGAATCCAATGAACGTCGGGAAGGAGGTGCCTGCCGAATGGCGTCGGTACCTGGTTGTCCTCCATTGCGTATAAAGCCCGGTGGCGCTTTCCGTCCCGACTTAAGATAAATTCCATGTCGTTTTATGCCTACCTACCTTAGGTTTGCGCCTGACCTCTCTCTTGACTCTTTTGGGTGAATGCTTGGCCACGACGTCAATTCACCTTGGCGGACCTTATATCTACCACCGAAGACCGTCTGAAATCCGTTTGGAGCTCTCTACAAAACCCACTCCATACCACCTTAGACAGCTCACCGCAGCTTGTCTTCACCCCACTACAACATCACCAACAATCATCTACCACACACCTCACCGCAGCTTCACGCGCAGCAAGCATACACTATGGCGGCCCCCGCGGACAAGACCATCGCCGACCTCTCCGGCAAGTGGGTCATGGTACGTCGCCCTGCGCCTCTACGATCTTAGTATCTGCGATGTCCAGCTAACCACCCGCCGCGCAAACAGAACAAGACCCTCTCTGACTCTCCCGAGCCCGCCCTCGCCCTCCAGGGCATCAGCTGGATGGTCCGTAAGGCCGTTGGCATGGCTACCGTCACCCTCCACGTGAAGCAGTATTCGGCTCCCCCGTCTCCCCCCGGCAGCGGCACCGAGCCCGTTACCCACATCGACATTGACCAGTTCGCTACCGCCGGCCTCAAGGGCACCACGGAGAACCGTTGCCTTGACATGGAGTGGCGCGAGCACTCTGACTGGATGTTCGGCTCAGTGCGCGGCCAGAGCAAGTGGATGTCTGCAGAGGAGATTGAGGACGAATTTCTCAAGAAGGGTCCCTGGCTCGAGGGTGAGGCCGAGGCCACCGGCCCTGACGGCAAGAGCCACATTTACAGCCACGTGGAGAGCATCGACAACGGCTGGACCGCCACTCAGATCTGGGGATTCCAGACCATCGACGGCCAGCGTCGCTATGCGCGCAACGTCCTCGTTCAGAAGGGCGGCAAGAGAGTTGAGATCCGTCTCGTGTACGATTGGCTTCCTTAGGTGCCGCGCAATACGGATAATGGGGCGTTGGATATCCTGGTAGTTGTTTGAGCGCATGGATAGCAAGACGGGATTGGAAGACAATACACGCCAGAGGTGATTATGATCACGCAGCAGAGACGTTGGGTGCCGAAACCCCTACGAGAAAACCTGAGAACATGAATACAACAACGATTACGCCCGTCATTGAACATTTCTTTGTTCTTAGCATGTGATTGAATCGTATATATGTGTAAAACAACGTCGCGACGACAGAACTGTGTTGAATCGTCTGTCTGCCTCCCAGCTGTGGTCCCAATGCTTTCCCCGGTTCATGCCGAACCGCCAACGCCCGAGTTGATGCAGCCCGCCGTCTACCATAACCATCGTAGCCTGACACTGAGGCTTGCCAACACACCGTCTGCGATGTAGCCCATTTCGCCTTGCTCTCTCTCTGACGCTCTCTCTTCATCAGGACACCAGACGTCCCCCTTTAAGCCGGCCTCCTCTTGACAAACTCCTCCAGATCCTGCACCGTCGCAACACCCAGCACGAACCGCCTCTTCTCATCCGTGATGACCGCAAAGTGGCTCTTGCGACCCTCCACACCGTCGCCCTCGAAGAAGGCCTCGAGCTCCTCGAGGGGTGTCTGCATCGTGATGACGCGGTACTTGCGGCCCTTGCGCTGGAAGCGGACCATGGCCTTGGACAGCGGATCGGCGGGGGTGACCTTGCCGGCGTCGAGGAGGGCCTGCAGGTGAGGGATGGCGAGGTAGCCGACGAGGGCGCGGTGGGCGTCGACGACGGTCAGGTGGGTGTAGTCGCGCTCGAAGGCGGCGAGGAGGGCGCCGGAGATGGGGTCGTTGGGGGTCAGGGAGAGGGCGGCCGGGGGATCGAGGTCTTCTACCGTTGCCTAGTTGGGCCAGGGCGTGTCAGTACTGGAGATTTCGGAAACGGAGTCATCGTGGGTTTAGAAGGGGAGGGGAGGAAACGTACACCGCGGTAGCGGGAGGACCATTTTGAGACGTATGGGGAAGAGGAAGATTCGCTGGTCGGCGCGGCGGCCGCGGGGTTGGAAGCCAGGGCGGCCATGATTGTGATGATTCAACTGTCGAGGGTTTCTTCCACGAGGCCAAGATGTCCCGGGCTTGTCGTAAGGCTGTCAAACAATCGCGGGGTTCTGGAGGGGCGGTGTCGACAGGGCTGAAAGATTTCGAAGGGATGAGGTGTGTAGTGTCTTCAACTCAGGCACTACGTCGGTCGGCGGCGGTTACGAACAGTGGGGTAAGACTTTTTGCTTGCTTTTTTGGACCCCCTGCGCCATGCGCGCGCACTGTTAAGGTTTCGCTGAGTCTCTGACCGCCCAGAGGCTGGCCTGGTTCACCGAGGTGGGGGTTCCACAGCGGGGTGACGGCCTGTGGATTCCCAGTATCAGTGACATGATGGGATGGAGAGTGGTGTTGCAGCAAGCCCGGGGGTGGTGAGCTTCAAAAATCAATTGCCCGCTTTGAGGAAGTGGCAGCGGGCGAGCACCATAGGTTCGGGCAGGCAAGTCGGTTTCAGCTGCAGAATCTGAAGAGCAGTTGACCACGAAGAAATTGACCGCAGATTCAGGTGTCTCCATCTCGCGCCCTTCGCGATTGTACTCACCCGCAATATCCGGCCTTATCGGCAATAAGCGGGCTTTGAGAAGGGTACCGATAAGGCAAGCTCCTTATCGGGCCCCCGAGCTCTCCCGCTGTGATGTCACTGCTACTCCCGAGCAATTCAGCGTTGATCGACTGACAGCTCACCAGGCCTTCAGGTACTCACCCAAGCTAAACTAGCAAGACGTCTACAAGCTTGCAACAGCTTTCCCCAGCGAGAGGAGGCCATGTACCGACGACATGTAGATGGCTTGGCCGGCTCAACCCGACCAATCCTGCCCCTTCATGTCCTTCCCCGGGTAATGTGTGTGTGTGTGCGACCAACCGATCGAGCTATCTAATAAACCTGCTTCTCTCTGGATTCATCTCGCCTTACCTCATCCTTTCCATGCGTGTTTCGTTCGGAGCAATCGGTTCTCCTTCCTTCCATTCTTTATCGCCATAGCGCCCCTCCATTCCAGAGCTATTGAGGGCTTCATCGGTGTAAGTGGTAGCTTTTTTGACTTTTGCGATGCATTCCTTCCTCGTCGCCGCAAGCAGTCGCGTGTCGCGTGACTTTGGCGCTTGTTTCTTTGGGACGCGGACGACGTCTTTCTCTTGTCTGGGATGAACGAAGCTTCATCGTCGTTCAGCTTCTATCTCGAGAGCATCGCAGCTTGCGCAAGCTTAGACTACTTTGATTAGAGCGTTAGCATTGCTGTGGTCGGCGCTGTTCTTGTTCACCGATTCCGCTGTCTCCAATCTGCGCTCATTGAGACTTTTTTCCTGGAGCTGCTGGTGGTATCGTCATCCTTTCCTCATTTCGTCATCTCCTCTGGATGCTACTTCCATCACTCTAGTCAGCCCACTATCAAGTCAATTGCTCCCGCCCGCCGCCTTGACAGTTGTCAACACAGCTAGACAACCTACGCGACGACCCAGAAGCTCACGTTTTGATAGATTATACAAACCCAATTCGCACAGCCATGTCGTTCCTCTATCCCAGACAAGATACCCTCAAGGGCTGCTTTGCCTCGCCAGTCCCGGGCTCGGCCCCGAAGGCGAGGCCCACCCGCTACCAGGCTCGCCCGGAGCTGTACGGCGCATTCTCCACCGTCGACGACGTCAAGGGCAAGGCCCAGAAGCTGAGTGCCGAGGCGACGGCCGAGTTCGAAAAGGCCAGCGCAAAGGCCCAGGCCAAGGCGGGCCACATTGAGCTGTACTCTGCCAAGTACTATGCCGCCTGCACGGTGGGCGGACTGCTGGCTTGTGTAAGTGAAATCGACCCACCATAGCAGCAACACCCGGAAGCTAAAGAGTCTTATAGGGCCTCACCCACACAGCCGTGACGCCGCTGGACCTCGTCAAGGTCCGCCGCCAGATCGACTCCAAGCTGTACAAGGGCAACTTCCAGGCATGGGGCATGATCTTCCGCAAGGAGGGCTTCCGCGGCATCATGACCGGCTGGGGCCCGACCTTCTGGGGCTACTCGGCGCAGGGGGCGTTCAAGTACGGCTTCTACGAGGTCTTCAAGCACGAATACTCGGAGCTCGTGGGCGCCGAGAACGCCGCAAAGTACAAGACCGGTGTCTACCTGGCCGCCTCCGCCTCCGCCGAGTTCCTCGCCGACATCGCCCTCTGCCCCTTTGAGGCTGTCAAGGTCCGCATGCAGGGCGGCATCCCCTCGCCGTACAAGGGCACCCTCGACGGCATCAGCAAGGTGACTGCGAAGGAGGGCTGGGGTGGTCTGTACAAGGGGTAAGCCATACCCATCGTTGTTTAACTTATGTGTAACAGAACGTTGGGAAACTAACGTACGGGGGCCAAATGCAGTCTCTACCCTCTGTGGGGTCGCCAGATCCCCTACACCATGATGAAGTTCGCCTCCTTCGAGACCATCGTCGAGATGATCTACGCCCGCCTGCCCGGCGAGAAGAAGGACTACAGCAAGGCCGCCCAGACGGGCGTCTCATTCGTTGGCGGCTACCTCGCCGGAATCCTTTGCGCCATCGTCTCGCACCCGGCCGACGTCATGGTCAGCAAGCTCAACGCGAACCGCCAGCAGGGCGAGGCCTTTGGCGCCGCCATGGGACGCATCTACAAGGACATTGGCTTCGGCGGCCTCTGGAACGGCCTGCCCGTCCGTATCGTCATGATTGGTACCCTGACCGGTCTCCAGTGGATGATTTACGTGAGTTTCCGAAAATTTCGTCCAACTTATAACTTGTGATGCCAGCGACTGACCAATGTTGTAAAGGACTACTTCAAGATCTTCATGGGTCTTCCGACGACCGGAGGCGCGGCGCCTCCCGAGGAGAAGCTTAAATAGACGGGATTAGAGAGAGGACATTCAGAAACACGACCGGCCCCTGGCTGCATATCTGGGTTGATGAGAGAAGAGATGCGGTGTGGGTTTGCGGTGTTTGCTTGTTTCGACAACCTGTACCATGAGTTTGTTTCCTTCGCCGAATCGAAACCTAATGAAATGTTGTCGTATTATCGACCCTTGATGGTTCTCGTGAATGTGATGGTTGCAATACGCCTCCAGGGTTGAACACATGGCGCCGATACCTCTGTGTTTGGACATTAATTGGCATGAATAGATAGGCGCCGCCTATTTTTCTTGTGCTAGAGCGACTACATTGTCTTGTCTGCTCGCTATTGTCGCCGTCGTCCGCCATTGTCGTATATAATCACTATAATTTATAGTCGTCCTCTATCAAAGAAAGCCTCAAAACTAGGAGCATCAAGTGCACAGAAAACATGGTTTTGTAGACGTCTCAATCGATGTGGATGGGAGACACCTCTCCTCTCACTACACAATTGTTCAGAGTTCTGTGGCAGCAAGTCACACCAGCGAGGTATGTGGTGATAGGATCATTGACCATGCCTCTGAGGCTTGTCTTCTCGTTTGATGCCTCATCTAAGTCTGATAATTCTCTATATGCAGCCGCTTACTGCGGGACTTCTAGACCCGTTTCCAACGGAGAATGCAAGAAAGCTGATGACCCTTTCCTTTTGTCTTGTTCCCAAAGTACTCCCGCCGTACCATGCCGTCGTCCCCTTTAAATACTAGCACGCATGCTCGTGTAGTCGCTCTTCATGAATTAATACAAGATAGTGTTCCTTGCTCTCAATGTTGTGGTATCGCGCCGCCAAAAAGTCAAAACACGTCCTTGATAGACAGGCTGATCATAGGCATCCGTGGGCGCAGAAAGCTTTGAGGCTCACCGGCAACGCCACGCGTAAGAAATCATACCAATCATGACGGAGTGAGCTGCTCCGTCATCATCTTGCGTACCTCCTTCTCTAGATTCTCCTCTGCCGCCTTGCCCGCGACCTCGTCCACGGCACCCGTCACCTTCTCGGCTAGCTCGATCTTCTTCTGGCAAGCCTTGTAAATGAGCTCCTCTATGGTGCGAGAGGTTAGGAGGCGAATGACTTCAACGTCACGGGTCTGGCCCAGACGATGAGCCCGGTTCTCCGCCTGAATGTCGTCTTGCGGGTTGTCTGACTGGTCAAAAATGATAATCTTGTTTGCCGACGTCAGGTTGATGCCCGTGCCGCCTGCGCCGGTGGTGAGCAAGAAGGCGGTGATGTCGGTGTCGTTGTTGAACTCGTCGATCAAGCTCTGGCGTTCAGCCACCTCCGTCTGGCCGTAGAGAACACAATGCCGGATGCCGTCCGTAGCGAGCACCTCCCGCAAGATCTCTATAACCTTGGCGAACTTGCTGAACACGAGCACGCGGTCGCCGTTTTCCCGGTACTGGTGTATAAGCTCCAGCATCTTGGTGACCTTGCCACTCTCCATCCAAGAACCTTCAGGAACGTCAAGATGGCTGATGCAATCGTAGTCGCGGCACCATAGATGCAACTCAAAGTCAGAGCAGTTCTGCAACTCCCCAATCAGATGATCGATCCGGGGTTGCTGCAGTTCCGATTGCGGTACTTTCTTCATCAAGATATTCGCCATCTTCTCGACCTTTTTGTCATCAAAGTAGCGGCGGAAAAGCTGAGGATGAATGGCAGCTTTACGAAGCTGCATCCAGCTGTTGTTCTGATCGCTCTGACGCCCGACATTTGTCTTCTTGACTGGCCCAGACTTGAAAAGGCGTTCGTACTCCTCGTACAACTCCTTTTGCGATGGCGCCAAATCGCAGTATGCGACATTGCAAATCTTTGCCGGCATGTCGGAAAGGACTTGTTGCTTGCGTCGTTGCAGGATGAAAGGTTCAAGAATCGTGCGCGCGCGGCTCACACGTTCACCATAGAGGAAGGCGCCATTGTTGACATCGCGGATGGTCACCTTCTGGCTGAACATATACTGCAGCTGATCCATGCGGCTCTTGAACTGTTCTGGGTCGATGAAGTTCAGCAGCGACAGCATCTCCATCAAGTTGTTCTGAACGGGCGTGCCGGTAAGCAGCATTCGCCACCCAGCCTTGATCCTGATCAAATCCCTGTAGATCTTGGTCTTGGGGTTCTTCATCTTGTGGCCTTCGTCAAAGATGGCGGTAGCCGGGGCGAGCTCGCGCATAGCCTCCAGGTCCTCCTCTGACCCGACTTGCGTGTATGTTGTCAAGACAACGTGGTACGCTTCAGGATCTTCAAGCATCTCGACCGCAGCCTCTCTCCGTTGAGCCTGAGAGCCCTGGTAGGAGAGTACCGAGAGGTCCGGTGCGAAGCGTTCAAACTCAACTTTCCAGTTGGAGAAGGTGGAAGGCGGCACAACAACCAAATTGGGCCACGGTCTCTCTCCTTTGCCGTTCTTTTCGAAGTCCTCGACGAGATGACATATCAAAGAGATGACCTGGCACGTCTTCCCAAGGCCCATTTCGTCAGCCAGAATACATCCATAGCCGTTCTTGTGCAAAAGCGACATCCAATTGAGTCCAAACAACTGGAAAGGTCGCATAGTGCAGTGTCCGTCCATGTACTTTGGTTGGGAAGGAATCGGAGGGTCCGAAAACTTCTGTCCCCGAAAGCTCGACGGCGTCGGAGGAAGATCGCCACTAGTTTGAATACTGCGCTTCTGTCCTTTGAAATCAAGGTCCCACGAGCTCATCTCCTGCTTCACCCGGTTGGCCTTCTTGTCGCACTCGGCAACCACCTCATCAATGGCGTTGACGCTCTGTGTGAATTCCATGATGGCATCCACCAGAGTCTCTCCGACAGCAACCTTGGGCGACTTGCGACCCCGGGCCCCTGCTTTCTTGGAGAGGGTGACGGCTTGGACCTCGCCGATGCTGTCGAAAGGTCTCTTGCTTTCAATGATCTTGAGCTCGTCTTGCTTAATGTTCGTCATGGCGGACAAGTCCTCCATCGTGCTGGTGTTGATGACTTGAAGAGCCTTATCCTCCAAGCTACCCTTGACCGCATCGTTCATGTCGTCCTCATTGTCGAAATCGTCGTCATCTCCATCGTCGGGAATGACAATCGGCTCGTCAACCCTGTCTTCCGCAAGCTCATCCACGCCGTCATTATCGTCTCGCGGCCGCTGCGGGGTCTGTTGGGACGAGACAGGAGATCTGTCAGGCCGGCGACCTTGCATCAATCGACGTCGCTTCTGCTTCGGTGGCGAAGGGGTGGTGCTCCGTGATGGAGTAGGCAGATTCGGCGTGTGACGCCCGAGGAGTCGGGACTTGGTTGGGACATTCGGCTTCGTAGAGCTCACAAAGCTGTTGTGCTTGCTCTTGAGATGCTTGCCATCAAGCAGATACTCAATGGCATCAGAAACGCTGTTGTTACAAGCACCCAATGCCTCCTTAAAGCAGTATGTCGGTAGGGTACGTCCTACGACGTTGGCAACCTGCTCGATCTTATCCTGGAGCTCATCGACCGGAACATATTGAAAAGACGAAACGTGCTTGTTGAAGGAAGTCCGGCTGATGTCTCCCCTGCGCTTGCTATCGCTCTCCTCGTCTGAAGAATCATCAACCACGACGGGCTCCTCGGCGTGTCTCTTGAGGGTCTTTGCTGTCGCCGGAGACTGAAAGCGGGTCCCAGCAGGCACGAGGCGATTGAAGTAGCTCGATACAACGGCCGGCTTCGGAGGCTTCGATTGGAAGGGCGAGGAGGCAGGAACCTCAATCACCGATCGCGACGAGGGAGACGAGAACGGGTCCTGCAGTGCTAACGGTTGTGTCGGTTGCGTGGCTTGTGAATTGCGCTTGATGATCTGTGTCGCTTGTGTCTGAAAGGGGGAGCAGGGAATCGTCTCCGCGAGCTCGTCGGCATCGCTACTGTGGTGTTGAGCCTTAGAAGATGGCGCTGAGCGCTTGTATGTAGACTCTTCCGCCGCGGAAGGCGAAGAGCTAAGATCCCAAGGAATGGGCATGGCTGGCGTAAACTGCTGTGGCCAGCAGAGGAAAACAGAGATTGGTTCGTTGAAGAAGAGAACAATGGCCGATCAACAAAGCGGGGGGCTGGTGTCGTGGGAAATAATAAAGAGATCTCAACAGGCGCTTCCTGGATGTGAAAACTGACTCTATAATCGCAAAGTGGGCGAAACTGTTGGAGCTGAGCCGGCAAAGATCGCGAGGAAAGAGCGACGGGCCTGGCAATTTGGGATTGCTGGCGTTTTTTGGCAGGAGCGGTCGAGATTTGAGGAGATGGCGGTTCGACGCAGGGCCTAGGTGGGATTTTTCTGGGGCAGATCCCCCCGTCCGTTGACACGGCAGACCGGAGAGACGCGGTCAGAAGAGACCGTAGCGCGTAAGCACGTGGCTCGCGTCATCAATTAAAAAGCCGTGCGGCACAGTGTCAACTCCAACGGTACCTGCTGTCTTTTGACTTCACGCCTCAATCTGGTGAGCTAACATACCTTGAAGAGGTGGGACTTGCGATTGACGACAGCTCCAACGTCCATCAATAACGAGACTGTCCATCATACTCATCGTCTCTGTCCAGCACCTTCAGTGTGAGTCATACTCTTCTTTTTTTCCTGCGATCACCACGCTGACCGTTATATCAGTGCAATAATTGGGACACATCTGCTGTTCACTCAGTCAGCCCCAAGCTCCGGCATTCCGACAACACAATGGCTACCCGACGCATCGTCGCTTCAGAAAAGACCATCCTAGAGAAGGATGATCGTGTTGGCGCCAGCCCTGCCGCCGGCGAGAAGTCCAACATCACCCCGGCCGTGCCGACGGATGTCATCATGAAGCTTCTCGGATTCACGCTCGCAATGATTGTGATGCCCATCGGAACTTATTTCGCGACGGTCGATTTTCTCTTCAAGGGTGGGTTCTAATTCATGGACTGAGCCGACGAGAGTCGGAAATGCTGACAAACAAACTCAGGCAACTCGACTTTCGCTGGAGGTCTCGCCGCCGTCGTAGCCAACGTCGTCCTGATCACGTATGTCATCGTTGCTATGAAGGAAGACCAGAGTGATCAGCTTGGCGACTGGAAGGAGGGGAAAAAGGATCGCTAGAGGCCGCGTTTGCATGGGCTGTTGTCTCACTTTGTAAATGACCACATGGAATGCAACTCTTCATGCCGAGATGCACTACGCCTACGCCAGTCACATGTTCCGAGATACGGTATGTTTCTCAAGCGAGTAATTGCAAATCTATTTTGCGGTTCCTTCTTACTTCTGCGGATCTGCAAGCAAGCCGTTCCGTCCCACTGGGACAAGTAAGAAGCGATTACCGGCCTCAAGTCTCCAGCTGCGTAACCGTAGGCTGTTTGTAGCCGCTGGGGACTGTGCCGTGACCCGACCATCTGTTTCTGAGATGGTTTTTCATACTCTCAATATCGTACGAATCGTATGCATGTACCGTCATCCAACAATATTAAACCGTCTTTTTGAATAGAACCAGATGTCACCTGGTTGTTCAACCTGTCCGCGGGCAACCCAGCCCATCCATGATCATAAGGACCGCCTCAAAGCGAAATGGCAATTCGCCGTCACCGGGCCAGCCCAAAGTATGCTACGCTGATCTCCGGCCGAGGTGCCATGCCGCCTCCCGCCTGGTAGGTAGAAAAAATGGGGGTATCGACAAAGAAAAACTGAAACCGTCTCATATCTCATGCCTCGCGCCCCTCAAGATGACTTGCTGAACCTGCGGGAAAACCAGCTCTTCCTCTTGGCAGGCTCGGGCCGTTGCTGCTGCTGCTGCTGTTGCTGTTTCGGCGGTTGCTGCATTTGCTGCGGGGCTGCCACCGGCCTTCGCAGCACATTCGAGTTTCCGGACACTCGTGGGCCAGTCTTGATATTGATCGGTTGTTGCTGCTGATGCTGCTGATGCTGCTGGTTGCTCGGTCCGCCGTTCTCGAAGTTGAAAGAGGGTGGCTCGGATGTCATTGGCTGGCTGAAGCCGATTCCGTAGTCGTTCGCGGGCGCTTTCTTAGGGGGTGGGACACGCTCGACAGAACTGTTGTCGCTGCTGGTCGGATCTGTGTGGTATCCCGCGTGCTCGCCCGAGCTTCCACTTCCAGCCGCAGACGTTACCGTTTCGTATGAGCGGTCCTTGTTGGGCAGGGGGTAAATATTCTGGTCGCCTCTCCCATAGCCACTCATGTGCGGTTCTGTTTGCGTTCGCGGTACTCTCTGGCGATAAGGCACATCGTTTCCGTTGTGATAGCCTCCTCCATGCTGATAATTATCGTAGTAGCTCTGTCGGTTGTTGCCCATGCCAAATTGGCTGCTCTCGGGTCGGTATGATGCAGGGCGACTGCCATAGTAGCTGTCCTGGGGGTAGCGAGGTCCACTGGCTGGTAGGGGGTTAGCGATATCGCCTGCTTCGTTAGATGATTGCAAGACTTACTAGCATAGTAGCTGCTTCGGCGGTTCCATGTCGCGATCGACTCTGTGTCTACGCGAAAAGTGTTAGACGCAACGGGTCTCCAGGGGGATGAAGTAGACATGCCTGAACGAATATAAGACTTACGACGGTCCCTGTCACGGTAACCTCCATCAATCGCGGCCTCGAAGCTGCGAATGGTGTCTAGCGGTCGCTCCCAGCGACTGCGGGTAGGGTTGGACCGGTCAGGCTCGGCTGCATTAGAGAATCAGCCCACACTCACCACCGACATTTTGCAATTTTCGCTACGACGTACCAATGGGATTGCCGAGACCATCCTTGTGTTGTATTGCGCGAAGAGGGGCGAGAGAAGTCTGTTCCATAGCCTGGACGGCAGCTGTTCATAGTGTGTTAGTTGTATGCGCGTTAACCAACGACCAACGCATGTCGAGGCGACTTACAAGGCTCGGCCTCGCTCATAGCGACGGTAGGATCTGCCTTGGTATGTAATCTCTTTGCTTCCTTCTCTTCGGGTGTTTCGTGAAAGTCGATCTTGTGGCTGCTTCCAGAGCTCTTGTGGGATTTGTTGGACTGAAAGCTGAAAGTCCTGGGCCTTGATCGGGAGCGCCTCTGCTGGTTCTGAGAAGAATGGCTCTGGGACTGGGGAATCGGGGGCGGCTGCGGGCGCTGAGGCTGGTCGTACTGCTGCTGGTAGGGAGGGAACTGAGACGGTGCTTGATACTCGTCGGGCTCTTGGGAGTAGTACTGCTGCTGGTTCGGCTGGTGATGCTGCTGCTGCTGCTGAGGAGGCAGGGCGGGAAGTGGATGATGCTCTGCCATGACGGGCGGCCGGGGGAGGGTGCTAGTTTTAATTGATCTGTCTCGCTCGGTGACGGGCGGTGGGCGCAGTGGCAGTGGGCAGCGGGCCTGGGTCTCGGCGAGCAAGGACGTTTGATGGAGCTATTGCGTGCCTTATCGCGGGTCAGCAAGGGGAAGAGTGGGCGGGCGGTTCCCAGGAGCTCGCTAGCGAAGCAGCCAAGGTAGTGTTCCCAGGGGGAGGCGTGATATGGAGCAGTGCAATGTGGACCGATAGAAGGGGCAGAAGGGGTGCGTGTGGTGTTTCCGGCAAGCTGCCGGGGGGGAAAGTGGATGCAGGACTAGCAGCAGGTAGTGTACCCGTAGAACCGGGCTGTTTCCAGTGTTCCACTGATGGAGATGTGATTGTGATGGGAGAGCAAGAGCAAGAAGCAGGAAGAAAGCGTGGTGTTTGTGAAGATTTGTGCAGATGTGTGTCCTCTCTTTTTTTTTTTTTCTTCTCGGAGAGGTGTCGCAAGGAGGCAGAAAAGCAGGGAAGATAGTGTCTCGTATGTGGCTGGGGGGAGGCGAGCTGGCAAAGGTAAAGTTGGCAAGGTACAGGCCCTTCTTAGTCGCGGGAAGCAGAAGCAGAAGCAGAAGTAGCAGCCTGTACTGGTGTGCCGAGCAGGAACGAACGGCCGGGCAACCACCACCACCTACACTACCACCACCACGACCACCACAACCACCAGCAAAGCTCCAATACCGACCTGCAACGGGGTAGTGCGATGACACCCACACGCGTGGGTGGGCGCGGTGAGGTGGGAAAATGGTGACGGCGACGGGGAGGGTGAGGATTGAGGTTGGTGGGCAGGGTTAGGTGAGAGATACGTACCTGTCTGTACCTGTGCCTGTAGGGAATTTACTGGCCGATGTTTGGCGACGGGATGCTGCAAGCTGCAACAGAAAGGCGGGAGTCTGAGAGTCTGATGGATTCTGATGGGGGCAACTTCGGGCGAGCGACGCCGGGATGCTGCTCCTGCTGCGCTGGGGTGCGCCGCCTTTGGGGGATGTTGCAGGGAAGGACGTGGTCCGCAAACGGCTAAGCGCCGCCTCTTTTTTTTTTCCCTTTCGATGGAGATTGGGGTGAGAGGCTGGGGGCGCTCGCTCGCACACTGAACTGGGCCCTGTTCACTGGGTCTGCCCGGACGGTAGGCGCCTCCTGATTGTCCGCGAATGTCTTGGTGATGCGATTTGCCGGTTTCTGCTCCGTCTGGTGTTCTTTTTTTTCTGCCCGCGTCGATTCAGTGCAGCAATTCGCCGATGCAGTCACTGGTAGCAGCAGTCGCTGTCTTTCTTCTTTTCCCTGCCGTTCACCGATGACTGTGCAGGACCTGAGCCGGATTCCAGTCAAGGTTGGTCTGCACTGCAATCTATTTTCGACGATCCGTTGAAGAAGGCCGGCAGTGCTGTTTGTCGGTTTTGTAATGATGGGCAAGTAAACTGGGTAGCCTGTTTGATGGCCGGGGGTGATCGGTGATCGAATGCGACGTCGCGCGTTCTCAGGCGTGGTTGCTTGGGGTGGGCGTGCGTGGTGGAAGGTATTCGTGGGCGGCGGACCCAGAAAACCGATGCTCCAGCGGATGGGCAATGACAATGCCAATGCAGACCACCGGGCTAAAGCAATGGGCAAATCAATGGGCGAGTGAGTGGCTCAATGTCCAGAAACGCCCCCTGCTGTAATCGGTTGTCGATGGCCAGAATGGCTGACGTCAAGCCGCTGTAATCGTCGCGTGTTTCAGAGCCTCTCGTGCCGTCGCTCAGACCTGACAATTTGACAACCCGAATCTTCCTTTTGCCTCACACTCAAATGTCCAGGTGGTCTCCCTCTTCCCTTTCGGCGCTTGGCGTAGGGTAGGGCGTCCTGATACCGGTCTTGGGTTGAGTGAGCGAGTGGGTGGTGTCTGATGTGGAATTGCGGAATCAGAATAATATGGATCGGATGGCTGCTCCTTGCTGCAGTCGGTAGGTAATTCGGACTTCTGCCCAAGAGCCCCAGCGTTAGCAACCAGCCCAGACTTGCATTGGATCAATATGCACCAGCTGAATCAAATGTCTCTTTCATCCCACGTCGCCGTCGGAATCGCTGTCGCTGCAGCGCACGGCACTGTGGCACGGCCTGGTGCTGCCGCCGTCCGCAGCTTGCTTGCAGATGATGACGGGGGAATGAGCCAAAAAGAAATTCCCTCCTCTGTGCGCACCTTATTTCCAATTCAACTCTTCTCCCTAGCTGCTGTCGATTCTCCTGTCGCCTTCCACGTACGTTATTATCCCGACCGTCGATGATGATCGGTTGTTGGCTTTTTGGCTCGCTGAGTCCGGGCCCTGGCGACGCTTTGCTGGTTAAATTGGTTTTCTATGATGGTGCGCTCTGGAAATTCAACGGCGTCAATAGTGTCCGAGACCACGTCGCGATGGCCGAATGAAGGGGCGATAAGAGAAACGAGACGGGCAACTGCGGCTACGAAAAGCAACAGACTGCAGAAGCACACGAGGGCGAGGAAGGCAAAATGGACAGTCGGCACAACAGCGAGTTGTGGTGGTTTTGACGCACACTGCCAGAGGTGCCCCGCGTGCTCTGCTCCGAGTGCTGCTCTGGTGGCTGAGGGCGGGTGGGTGTAAGTGAGGGCAAGGTGTGAGTGTGTGACTGACCGGCTGCAATGAATGGCGTGTATGTGCAGAGATGTGAGACCTCGACTGGTAAAGCAGAGCCGAAAGCATAAAAAGAGTCCCAAAGATACATTAAAACGTGGCGGGAGGCCTTGGGTATCTATACGAGCCTGCGAAAAACTGACCAGTCAACGAACAGCCGGCGACGTCGAACTATGTGCGACTGGTCGAGGGCTGAGCAGACAGCGAGAGAAGATGGTGTGTGTGGTGACGGTGACAACTGCATCACCAGAAGCAGTTAAGGCATGGCATGTCATGGCAGGCATAGGCATGCACGAAGTACAGCTGCCACCTGGGATACTTACCAGGTAACTTAAGGTAGGTAGGTATTAGCTTCCCTTGGAGATTCGGGGACCTGAGGTCCTTCCTTTCCGTGGTTGATTGGCCTTGCCTTAGGTTGCTAATACACAACCACGACCACCACCCCTTCCCGTCCATCATCAACAACCAAGGGAGGATACTGACACGACTAAAACTAACAACAACGTACGACGCCCAAGGTATCTACTCCAAGGTTGGATGGAGCTGGCCAACCAGTCTCGTCTCACCCTGGCCTCAATTACCGGGCCTTCCATCGAATGACAGGTCACGGAACCCGACGGAACTTGGGGATTGCCAGGTCACCGGCACACCGGGCACAAGTCCCTCATCCCCTTCTCCATGATCAGAAGACGCTCTGTACTCGAATGTTCTCAAGTCCCATCCACGATGTACAATGGGCATCGGCATTTCTGGAAGCTCACCAGTCCGACTTGCACAGCCGGCCCAGCAGGAAGCTAAAGGCATCTGGAGCAAGGGAAAGCAAGGGAAAGCAAGTGAAGGGCCTGGCCTTGCATTCCGTCCCAACAACCGTACCTTCGAACAAGCCTCCCTCCCACAACCTTGCCTTGCTTACAGGCTCCCACCTCACGCAGACAGACGTTCACACCATTGGGGAAACGTGCCTGGTTCCTGAAAAGCCAAAGGTACTTACCCTGCGCTACTATGCGGCCGGCTGTGTGCGCGTATGCCCGTCAAACACGCTCAAAGTCGCTGGAAAGAGGGGGAGGGGAACTCGCAAAAGCCCAAGCTTGAGCTGTTGGCGGAGGAAACTCCATTCCTCAGCCGTCCAGTCCATTACGCGTTTCGCCCCTCATCGACCATCCCACCCACCAATCCAGCAGTTTACGAGGTCGAGGTTCCATCCGCCTAGAAACCTTAGCGTTAGTCCCGCCGACGACAAGAACCGATCAGCCACCACTGCCACTGTTGCCCACCACACGATGTGAGGTTTGGGCAAGACATCGGCCACGGCGAAACGAGACACGGCGAGATAACCTCAGCTCAGGGTATTCGCTACATGCCACAGCGTACTTGGCCGTCGTGTCTAAGTACCGGCTGATCGGGCGTCCGCCTCTTCCATTCCGCCGCGCCTTGATCTCTGGCTTTACTTCGATCTTACTTCGATACCCGTGTCAGCCATGTACCTCGCAACCTGGTTCCCTCTCCAAAAGACCACGCAGACTGGTCAGCCATGTACGTGGGATGTAGCCGCATGAGAGATGTGCGTCGGGACAACTGTACAACACCTCGGCCTGAAACTTGACTGCTTTTGCATCATCCAAGCAGGCAGTCAACAGAACGACAATCCTTCCCCGACCTCCAGCGACAGCAGCGGGGCTGCATATTCGTCCACGACTTCATCTGCGACTCATGCTTTGGCATGTTTGGGCATGTCGCCCCAAACACATTCAGACAATATCTTTCGTCTGATACCCGTCTTCAATATGCCATCAGGAACGAACGGCATCGCGCCAAATGGACCCTTAGCCCGAGACACGCGCAAACACTTGGATCAGACGCCTCGGGGTTGCGAGGATAATGCCCGTCCCACCGCCTCTTCCTCCTCCTCCTCATGTTGTCTGTCCCTAGACCAGGCTGGGCAATGAGTCTTGGGTAATACCGACTACCACCCCTGTAGATCGTGGACGTGGGCTTCGTGTTCAGCAGTCATACGAAGGCTGGGCCACAACAGCGTGGCGATTTGGCAAGTCCCACCTGCACCCGCGCGCCCGAATTTTCAACTTGGCTGCCGCCAGACCGCCGCATAAAGCGTTAGTTCAGTTGTCGTCAACACCCGCAGGTTCCATATTGCCTCGTCGGGCTGCGCCTCAATTGGTGCTGCAGTCATGACGCGGATCGAAAGCCTACTCGAGAAGATGCGCGTACAGCAGATACCTGCGAGACTCTGGTACAGCCAAAGATCCTCCACATGGTATTCCGCGCGCCCGTCTATCCACCGCTCTCGAATCCGTGCCCTCAGTTCCACAACACTG